AAAGCATGCTTTTTCTTTCATTTATTTCATCAAACACTGGTCGAACTGGTATTGGCCCTTGTGTGATATTACTATAGATAGTTGATCTAGCTTCAATGCAAGGGGTTGAAGTTAGCATGTCAATAAAGAACACACATTTTACTATACTACTTGCTGAATTACTGCTAGATACGAACATCTATATTTAAAAACAATCCACACATAAAAATAATAACCGATAAGAGGGGTTTATCGAGTGCAGTCTTAACTGTATATGTTTGAGCGGTCCATTCTAACTGATGTAAACTTCCATGTGCTCGTTCTACGATCCGATTAAGGGGTTCTGCAAGATTGCTTCTTAATATCTACCTATACGATCTCACGAAATGAAATAAAGGAACAAAGAGTTCATATGTCCTCATAAAAACAGGCCGAAGAGCTCAGAATGATTGATTTCGTAGCTGCTTTCATTTTAATTAAGAACGAATAATAGCAGAATATTTCTTGAAGAGATTATCTATCATCTTATTCTAGTTATGAAACGATACTGTGGAACGAGCTTCATGTCGTTGAGAATAACGACATTTTTACCGTTTGCTGCAAACTATATACTACTTCAGTTATTATAATCAACTGCTGGTTTGCAAGCCATGGTTAGGTAAGGTCATAGGGTGGCACGATACTGCTCCGTGGTTTAACTGGAACGCGATCTGAATGTGCAAGCGCTTATCCATGGGAAAATAGTTCCAACGAACGGTCACTTCATTTATCTGACCGTTGCATGCCGATAATCCTTTTTCTTTGTCACCCTTGGATTTTAAGATCACCGGCAGAATGGACGGCAGTAGTTCACCACTGAAGGTTAGTAGGCGATATGCTGTCGAAGTTCAGTAACTTTACATCTGTTTCAGTGACAAATCTAGGTAAGATCAAGTAGGATATATACTGACTCCTATATATTGGAAGAATTACCTATGACAGATATTTAGATTATACCGCATAATTTCTGGGGCAAACAATAGGCTTAGGGATGTAGAAATTGCGTAGCTATTACCGTTCTTATTGACTGGCTTTAAAAGCGCGCTTCGCCAAAATATGAAATCAAAGGGACATTTGATTTACAGTTTATTTCGAGGTTTTTGTCACTGTAGGGAGCTAACAGTACGAAGTGTATGGTCTATCGAGAACCGCATCGCTTAGAACAACAAGAGCTGCTTAACGCGCTTTCAAATAAGTCCCAGACCAAATGACGACCATGTTTTAAGGATTCGAAATAATATTTGGATACTGCCCCGTTATTCGTGGAAGCTCAATTTACATCTTTGATGATCTTCAAATTTGAACTAGCTGATGATGCTTTACAGATATATGACGGGTAGCGTATACGTAGAGGGTATGGCGGCTGTGTTGGGGCTTTGTAAGTACATATAGTACAAAAAGTATTACCAATATTTTGTCTCTAAGACATGTCTAAAGGAAAATAGAAATTTCAAGAAAACAAAGTGCCTGTCAAGTGTTGTTCCTGACAGTCACATGTATTAAATATAATCACCATCGGCCATTCAATTCAATATCTAAATCACCCACTAGACCATGTTAAAATATTCCTTTTTTAATTTATTGTTTACTATCCATCAGGCACTGTTGATCAGTGCAAACTCGGCAAACTACCCTTTCAATACGCTGCATGCGAAAAATGTGAGCGAAATTAAATCATGGGGTGATAACGAACTAAAGGTCACAGAACTGTAAATACCCATTAAAAGGAAAAATGGAGCAAGAAGGCCGTCAGGGTCTGTTTGGCAACCGATATTCTCCACGCTAAAATTTCTGTAACAAAAAAATCCAAGGTGTATCAAAAATGATGTTTCAAATCACTTTAACGGTTTTCTGGCCCTTTAGGATTTTTCGGTTCTTCCGATAGAGATCTGCCTCGGGTTCTTTTGTGAGGCCACATAAAAATTAGCAGTAACCTAGCCTGACGATTTTGGCCAAAAAGAGAAGTTCGAGAGGCGCGAAGAAACCGGATAATAACTGAACATGCTCAAAATGGATAAAACGGCACACCGTTTTCTACCATGATAAGTTTGTTTCAGAGATAACCGATCTTTTTTGGTACTAAGAATACAGGATGAGTAGATGCCCGTGACAACAGACAGCCCACTAAAGCGTGTCCGAACTCAGATGCCGCGCCCTGTATATGTATCGATATATGCGGGGGCAAAACAATATGTGCCTAATATGAACTCCTTTCTTTGTGCAGAACGAGAAATATAATGCGAAGGCGTCGAACAGCTTCTTTCAGCGAGGCTACCTGGGACCGCCACCCGGTGCGGGCTCAGTCGTGATCATTCGGCCTAGATCACTCAACGAGAAGACGCCTGATCGACTTCTTGGAGAAGGTTCAGTCTTTAAGGTCAACAAGTATCGATGTGAAGTAGAATCAAGTGCCAAACGTGTACTTGGCGGGTGTGCCAGTGGAAAAAAAGAGCCGAAGGACAGTAGATGCTGTGTAATGTCATAGTGTTCTATTTATGGCTACCAATATTTCCTGCGATGATGGTGGTGCTATATTGGTAACACTGCGAAAGACAAAAGGGCGCTTTTTTCTGAAATAACACCAGTGAACGTTTCAAATATCGTGCATATATACAAATAAGATAATACGGTGAACTTTAACAAACACTTTCACTTACTAAGTGGACTACGACTTTCTACGAATAGCATAATAACACTTTACTCAACAATTTATTATGTCAGGCCTAACATGCTAAGCCAACACATGGACGTCATAGCTTTGACGACGAGCTGGATTGCAGCAAGAATTCTACTGCAATTCGGTGAAATAAAGGCATCTAATTTATGAGATTCTTATTTGTGTAACCTTGGAAAAGCTATACGCCGGTACATAGATTCATCGAAAGAGTGTCACAGAAGAAGACTACGCTTATTCTCACTTATCTAGCCGACTATCATGTCTGAGTCTTCTTACCACATTTTACGTCTTTCCGTTGTTAACGTAGTAATCAATATTGATCGAGTATGAGATGCGGTCATAGAAGCAACAGGTGGGCTATATGGGCCACTATTAACCCCGAGAAATACTAAATTGAGGAATCCAATTACTACGCTCTAGCTATGATGATTTTTGATTAATACTTCGTTGTTTTTGTTAGAAAAACACGAACTGATAGTGAAGTGAGTGAGCAGCGTATATTTCGACAGGCCATTGAACCTGATTAATTTCGATGGATAGCGGAAGTAAATGAGTATTTTGATCTGCTTGCTTTCTGGAGTAACGAATCATTTGTGAACTCTTCCCCTTGCGACAGGATGGCAATCGACAACGGAATTATTCATCACGAAGCCTCTATTTTCGAAGATGAAGGATTCTGTTGGAACGCCACTTGCAGGTGCAGGACGGCTCCAACCAGCGCGACCCGTCCACGACTAATTATCATCTGTGGTACTGAAGGAAAGAAATCATCGAGGATGCCTATATTTATCGTAGGCGCACTCGTCCTCAGAAACCCACTAATGATATTGGCCGCAGCAAATGATAATTTGAAATTGATCTTGCGTCAGAGCAGGTGCGTTGCTAATAGTTTTTGAGATACATTAAAGGGAGCTCGTGTAGCGTGTCACCGCTGCAGCTTTCTGTGGAGTTTTGAGCTGCCGTTATAACGTGGTCCCGCCCATCGTGACTTTCCTATGAAAAAAAATCTATCTGAGATAGCCGCAGGTGCCTGTTGAACGCTTTCCGGCTTCATTTGATTACTTCTAAAGTTCTTTCTTTTCCCTTCCACATTTTTTGCGACATGCTATTTGTCTATTACCTTCCCACAGACGGAACTGAAAGCTACATACGGTGCTTCAAATGACTGTGTATGCGTTGAATCTAGCTTTGACCTATAGTCTAAAAAAAAAAATGATCCGCAGATAAGCTGATAGTCTTAACTGTGAACTGCTATGAATTATTAATTACTATGTTCGCTATACTGTCAAATGAACATTAATGCTGCCTAACGTGTCTGAACTTTTACCATGTTAACAATTTTCATTGGTTACCCAATTCACAGAGATTAGCGCGTATGAGGTTGAGCCGTTTTAACGTGTGAAGCTTCTTCTAGACGCTACACTTTCACCAAGTGCGTTTGTCACAATCTGTTTGATGAAGCCATTTTGAAATTCAGCACTTTAACATTAGTTTTAAGATTAGTATGACATATGACGTGCTAGGCCAAATTGTATTTCCGCCGTCTGTGCAATCAGCGATAAATCACACTATTTCCAATATATCTAAAGTAGCTAAAAAGATACTTGGGTCAGGACATCCATGCCGCATGGTTTTGAAATGTGGGCCCGATTCGAGCAGGCGAACGATGAGCAGCAGTTACATGTCCCTTGGCTGCTGTCTGATCCGTAGAGTGTGACCCTTCGGGGGATCGATTCCGAGTACCAAAGCAGAACTTATGGCCTGGATAAACTACTTACCGATCACTGATCCGAGTGCGAACACGCGCTAATATTTTTTGTCGCATTAAACCTCGCGAAGGACAATCACAAGAGCTAAAAGCGCAATACTAAAGAATTCGTTTATAGCAAAAATGTCACCCTAAGTTGACGGCTTAGATATATGCGTGAATACCAAGTATTCCCTATAATTGAAGTACTGCGAGTCGTTCACATCGTTAGGATTATCCATATCTGCACCACATAGGGTCAGTTCTCGTTTATAGGAGTCGCATTATCTTCCCCGCCAGCTGAGAGTCTATAGCATCCTAACACAGGCAAATTAGCATCGCTTTGATCATATGGATATTTCCGTAGTGTTTTTGCGCGCATTCTATTAATAATACTATACACAAACACTTGTTAATTTGAAAGGTTCATATTCGACTAAAATCGAGGGTATAGACGTCATCATTCCTTGTTGAGGCAGTGATCGGTTTCTTGAGGAACACACACATCCAAGAAAGTAAACAGTTTTTTTCACAATAAACATACAGTTGTTTATTGAAGTATATATATTTATTTATATATTTTATATTCGTTTGGCAAATTCCGCCGTATGGGCGGCGCTATGTATTTACAGTGTAGTAACCACCGTCACGTTATGAGTACTCATGAGCCTTGTTGAGCTAAGGCCTATTCGAACATCGCTGTGACATATACAACGAAACAAGAAATTTATCTTTGGATGTGATGAAAGATGTTTTTTGTCGTAATAGACAGAAACTATACGTGAAAGATATGGTCTACTACATAGCTTTCGGGCTAATAAACTAACGCCGTGTATCGACGATTCTTCGTAGTATGATTTATGTGTATTTCGGATGGTTGTGGATAATGAAATATGCCTGCAGGTGATTTCCATGCACAGTCATTCATTTGCTTCACTGTTTTGAGCTTCTCGTGTGTGATGATTTTAATTGGTAGCCGGCGTCGTCTCCGTTGATAGCGTCTTCACACGTTTTCGCCGAAGTCGTCTGCCTGCAGGTTTGGTTGCACCCTCTGCGCGGGGTCCTACGGACAGGATCGTCTGGAGAGCATCGGACTTTGATTCCGTGGTGCTTGCTAGGGGTGTCGTTTGGGGCCGGGAAGAATCCGTGGCTTCAGTAGACGTTCCCACAAAGGTTGATGAATCTGTTTTGTCTCTACTGGTATTATCCCTCATGAAGAGCGTTGCTCCGCTGTCACTTTTCGTTACAGACCCAACAGTATCCGCTGTTGGCGTAAAATTATCGCTACTTCCTGTTACGTCAAGAGTCTCGGTTACAGTTGACCCGGTAGCGCCAGATACATTGATTCGACTGTTCCTTGTCGTCTGGAAAAACCGGTTCGTTGTGGTCGTTGGAGAATCTGCCGTTGTTATTCCAAAGCGGAACGTCGCTGGACTGTCAGGTGCTTCTGTTGATGGAGGAGCAAGTGAAGTTCGAAGCAGCTCTTGGGGTGCACGACGCGTTGCTCTTAACGTGTTCACGAAAAAGGTGCTTTGTAAATCGCTCGTTGAGTTAGGGGGTGGCACTGTAATGACAACTGCCGGGTGTTGATCTGCAGCTACCGTATTTCTGATTGGTGTTTCCTTAATAAAGATTGGAGCTAGCTGTGGAGGTGGCGCGACTCGGTGTTTAGGAGGATGGCTGATTGGACGGGGTGTTGGCAAAGTAAGAACTGCATTTTGTACTGGGAGTGGTGAAGTCGAGCCTTGGGGAGTGCCATCAACTTTAAATGTTTGGGCTACTTGAGTAAGCTTGTTTTTATGGAAAGTAGGTTTCTTATGTATTGGAGAGACAGAATTCGGTGCCAGAAAAACTTCATGGCTGTTATTTTTGGGTTTGGCTTTTGTTAAGCGGTCCACATGTCTAGCAACTTTGTTTCGTACGGCCGAGGGTTGCGGAGTTGCCAAAGCGGTAACTGCTGTAGGCCTTCTTCCATTTACAGGTGCTCCCCATTTTCCTAGGTAACGTGGAACGTGTGGGGCTGCTTGAGCAATATCATTTTCGTTGTGAATATCGACCTCTTCTTGACCAACGCGTTCATTAAGGTAGAAAAATGACCTTGCGGTCTTACAAGGAATTGCGTCCTCGGGGTAAGCACATGAGAGGCTCAGTTGATCGAAGATCGTTTGATTGCCACATACAAACGAGAAATGTTGCATCTCGCTTAGACCATTAGGGTGTGCTACGGGGTTGCACACATGAAAGACACGGCAATCAGTATCGATATCGGCGAAGTAACCGTACCGATCTGGACAGGAAAACGTGGAACGAATGTCCCCGACTAGCAGTTCTGCGCCATCTGGAAGACTCAAAGAGTTTTGGCTTACCGCAAACGCCGAGAAAGCTGAAACCGAGATGTAAAAAAAATCCATATTAGTCCAAATATTTGGTCATTCAGCATTGACATAACTGTATTGGGAAACAAAATCATTTAAATGAGCTCTTTATTATAACCCTTCATACACTAACAGACATCGTAAAAAAGTAACGCTAGATCCCATAATCATTGGAGGCGTTATATGTAACGCTATAAATGTTACTTGCGAAGGAATACTAGATAAGACACGTCCTGGCCTATGGGATAACGATCTTGTTAGAATACTCTATTGAAATGATAGCAAACACTTCAAGAAGGTCTTCACTTACTGTGACAATGTTTCTTTGTGCGTTAGCTATCAGTCTTCACGTGCTTCATCACACAATGTGATAAAGTGGATTAACGCTTACGTTGTAGGTTATTAAATACACCAACTTAGCAGTAAAAGCGGAACACATACGAAGAGACCTACTATAAATGCAAAGTTGCATTCAACAATAACATGAATAGAATAAACGAGTGCTCTTGTTACGCTCGTACACCTTTTTTTCAGGGGGCCTAGACAATCTTCAACTACAATGCCACATGAAATTCCCTGTAGACGCGCAACCGAGGTAAAAGCCGACAGAGCACTAAGTTCGCGAATATATATGCGATTAATAGCAATCGTTGGCTAGCCATTGCGGCCGCCGTTGTTTTGCGACAATGGGATGCATCGCAAGGGATATGTGCATCAGTAGAACTATTGCCTTGCCTTCCGTGACACGTGCACAGATATAGATTGCCTGATCATCTATGTGCAGCGTCATCTGCTAACAACAAACAGACCAATAGCGTCTGAACAGTAACGACATTCGATGTGCTACGCAATACTACTTCTAACAACAAAATATCTGGGCCGACTTGTTCAACCCAAAACATAAACGTGAGCAGATGTATGTACAACTCCTAGACTCTTTTTTGTTTTCTTTGAAATCTCGTGAAATGTTACAAGTGTGATCGGGGGACCGACAATTTAAAACCCAAGCGACCACTCTCACCGATCCCCTAGTCGCACCTATGAAGTAGCCAAGTTCATTAAAAAAGAACTTAATCTGGCCCTTAAAAGGGCCTCTAACAGCGATGAATGTGCGATACTGCAGAATTTATCGGCCATTAGATTTCTTTGATTGTCAGACGATCCATCGATAGACAGCTGTTTTGAATGATTATTAGTGGCAAGGCACAAGATGTTATCGGCAAGCACTAGCATTGCGTACACCCCATGGCTATTTGAGACACAGGCCAGACGAGATAATTGCATATAAGCTTCAGTACGTATTCAGTACTTCACTGTCCTTTGCAGTTGTTCTTGACTGTGTTGTCACCGAAGCCTTTTTGCGTGCCTGTGTGTTAGTGTGTGCCAATATAAACAAACCCTGAGCCCTTCCCCTGCTTTTGAAGGAATTCGCTTGATATGGATCCTTATCCAACTGTTTCGTTGGCTTGAAACAGCCTCGCAGACAATACTGCGCTGATGTCGAGCAGTTGACGAGTGAGTGCTCCATCCGAACGGCTAATGACAGGAAATTGTAGTAGCAAGCCAGGACAGGGATGATATTACTATTAGTAGTACTTATCTGCAGATAAGCGACTGTGCTTTTGTGACAAATTACATCTGACTGTCTACGTAAACGTGGTTCATTCAGGTTAGGAGCAACTGACGGTATAAAAATAACAACGATCAAAAAAGAATGCAGGTAAAGTTCGGGCAGGTTTTATACGGCCAATGAGTCTGTGGGTCGATTCTTCGCTTTTAGCCTGCGTTGTTCCTAACTAATAAACTAGCGTATTCATTTTAGACAAATAATAAATCTAAAAGGATTTCGAATCTACATTACAGGCATTTTATAGTAAGTTGCAAGGGTGCAAGGTACGCCATTGCTGATGTTTACTATCTTTTGAGTTCTAACTTGTCGCTCGGAAATGTCCTAACAAACTTATCCAGTCTTTTGGTCTGTTGTAAAAGAAGTGCAAAGAGGTCAAAGCAGACTTTGGCCTGTACTATGGAAGGCTAAAGCCAAACTAGTGGTGATCCACTCTATCTCACTCTTATTGACCCGATTACTCAATGAATAAAGGAGCAAGCTTTGGGGACCGTCATCTGGTATTCGAATATAATGGCATAGTTGTTACAGTTATCAAGTACAAATATTGTCATAACCCCCTCATGCCAACAGTCTTCATGTTTTATACTGTCTTGAAAATGTCTTAAACATAGTAGAAATGCTTCGATTATCTGGGTTTTTCATCCTTGGGTCGTTTATGGTTGAGGTTAAATTCGAAACACATCTAGATAGGTACTACCCGAGCGTATTCGAGTGTCGATAATTTCAACGATCATCTGCCATTAATACGAACTGTTTCCGTGAGAGAACAACCTGTGAGCAAAGCTTGCCCGATTAGTACTATATGAATGCTTTTAGTTCTCAGAGTGCTACCCACTCAACAGTGAGAGTAGCTCTTCTTCCGCCGAGAGTAACCTTTATCTATAGCTGATGGCTTTATGGATTACAGTACCTCGAAGAAACATAGCTGAGACATGTAGAAGCCATGCGGAAACAGTAAATTACGTTTTCTTTTGGTCGCGTCCATTCGTTTAGCCTTATCTACAACATATATCTACATACAAAAACAAGCAATGAAGGCCTTGACAAGGGGTCGCAGAAAACCTCACGCACCTTGCTGCGAGTTTTCTTCCAAATCTTTAGCGTAGTTTTCACAGATCGACCAAATTATCTTAAAGAATGTTTTCAAAGATCGGAATACACCGCAACTATGTTAATATGTAGTCGCAGTCCAGTGAAGTTCTGACAGATAATAGCAGCGTCACGGAAGGACATGGTGGCACCCATTTGCCAAAAGTTGACAGCCAAAAAATGTTTCCGATTCACATATTCCGAAAAGCAAATCTTTTGTGTGCAAATGTTGTGCTCCTACATTGTCTGACTGTCACTTCTGAGAACTGATACGTCCGTCTCCGACAGAGAACGTTGCGGCCATAAACAGTTTTCTTTGGGGATGGGCAGCCCAGTTTAGTAACTTTGCATTGAAAGAACAAGTTCGTCATCGCCTATTTGTGTTCATGAGCGTGGGTATGCCTTATTGCTCGTATGGTATTTTAGAAAATGTAACCGTTTCTCACTCCACTGGGTCTAATCTGCAGAGTTGTAGTTACGGGTTCAGGACCGATCGCTGGTAATCAGTAGGTGGTATCTGCTTTCCTATATCTGCGCCCTGGAAACGCCTTTGAAAATCGCTCTCTTAAGATAGCTCTTTAAGATCATATTGGGGTAGCATGGGGCTGTCTATTGAAAACAATATGAAGACTGAGGAGTAAACCCTAATGTTACTGAACCTGAAAAATTTCGCGTCGATGAATAAGTCAGTAGCATTTCGATGTCAGTACTGAAGTGAGGTAGCAGTTACGAGTGATGCGGCAAATTCGCAATTTGATAAGGTAATTTGACTTTTTGCTAAATAATAAGTTACGGACTATTTGGGCTTCGTAGACATGATGCTTCAAATATTTATCACGTAATACCTGTCGAGTTAATCGCTTATTTGGTATTAAGGTGATCGCCCTTGAAGGTATTTGGTTGATTTAAATAGATCTTCATCAGATTTCGAATACGACGAAATTCCACTATTAGGACATCAGTGATACTGTCAGTATAAATTCGAACGTGAAGTTTCAGCTACATTTATATTTCACAACATGACTCTTAGGCGGCCTCTTTCCATAAAGTTGGGGACCCTAATTTCTTGATCTTTCTTTCTCGGCTGTGACTATTTTTACCCCTAGAAACTTCGCTATTGGTAGCAATATAACTATTGGGCTATAAAGTATGTTATATTGATGTTCTTTTGCTGTGATTCTTTTGTGTAGTAAGTTGCGCAATTTTTTGCTGTGGTTCATGTTCCGAAGATTGGCACAGCTTCTCGGCTTTTTGGTTAAGATCACATGAAAAAGTATAGGCTTTTCGATGTTTAAGGTGTATTAGTCACTTCCTCAATGGGAAAACAGCAATATAGACATTTTACCGCTGCACCTAAAACAGAACTGACGTTCAACAATTCCTAGGCATCAGCAAAATTATATGTCCATCCGATAGTAAGAAGAGGCTGTGTCTATACGGAAAACCCTAGATTATCGTGTTCATTGCGATTGGTGTACCTCCATAAATAGAGCTTACGCTTAAATGAGAAAAAAGGTGCCGACCTTGTTGGCTGTTCAACCATGCTAAAACCCTGGAAAATTTGTTGCAACTACCTCATAGCTGAGGCAAACAATTATCCTGCTTCAAAGGTGGCCCTGGACAACCCTCATTGAAGTTGGATAGAAGGTGTCCTTCTGATAGGAGATGGCAATTTTTTTTATTAAACTTTTGTGCGTAAGCGATAACACCTTCACTGCACGCCCAACATTTTTTTTCGTTATTTTTGTGACGCGCGTTGCAAATGCTGTATTTTTGTCATCCGACGCGGCAATCTTTAAACTTCGAACTTAAAATAATACAATTTTGCCGCTTGAGTAAAGAAGGCCAACAGTCGTTTCCAATGTCGTATAACGCTTAGTCGTCAATAAACAAAAAGTAAGCAACGGGATGTTGTTATTTCAATCATTAATGTAATACGGATCTAGGCGTCAAGGTAGGAACGCTTCATTAGCATTTCTCGGAAAGAACAAAGACACTTTACAAGTAAGTGAAGCATATATTTTCATAGAATCCAAAACACTCAGTCTGTGCGAAAGCTCAACAAAGTGCTTTGTTCCATTGACCATCGTTTCGTATAACAACACAACATTGGGTTAAGAGATTCTTCATCAAATGTAGCGGCCGGTGCAACTAGCTTAGACGATCGGCGGAACTTCCGACAATTTACCGAAGAATGTTAACTTTAATGGGCGAACATCGGCTTGTTGTTCGAATCATGCTACGTCGATTTAGTTAGCTACGTGATTAGTTTGTAATCGATCTCATAATTTTATAGGATCGCCCAGCTTTTTCAGACAAAATACAGTTGTAGTGGTGCCGCCGCCGAAAACGAGAAAACAGAAAACATCGTATTTATCCGTGTTCCGTTCTCCCGGCGCATCATGACGGCAGTGTGAATAATTAAGCGATCCGTTATTATAATGTGGTTGGTATTATTACCGTTATAGCGGCCGCTGCTGAAACGAAAAAAAAAAAACAAAACGATTTACGCCAGGGTAAATCACGACGTCTCTCGTTGCAAGAATATTTCAGTTACGAGCGATATATATATATATATAGTCGAAAGCAAGAGTACTCGAATACCGATTATTTGTAACTTTTAGCACCGGGACGATGTTGTCGTAGGCGCTTACGGAGCATTTAGGGCGACGTCGACATTCAGCCTTCTCGTCAAGGTAAGACAGGAAGATAATTCAGATAGCTCTTTTCTCACTATCGTAATGCAGCGAACGAAAAACGTCAATATGCGCCATGTTCTGAACATGTGTTTGCTTGTGTGGGGGATGAAAAGAAAATCAACATCAAGGCCATTGGAAACGGAGGAGGAGGAGGAGGAGGAGGAGGAGGAAGAGGAAGAGGAGGAAAAGGAGGCTGGAAATGACAGACGCGCGAACTCGCTGATTGATGACGGCATGAGCAGTAGCAATACAATGCGTATGCAACATATTACAACATGAAATAATAATAATAAGGAATGGCGGGTGTCGTCGACAAGTGTATTGTCGGTTCCCGTGACTGTTCGAAAGGCGGACCGGAATGTCTCATAGTGCATAGATCTGCTATCATATCTAATTTTTGGGCAATGCCAGCAAATGACGCTGTCGTCGTTTCTGTGAGCGCCAAATCTAGACGGTGTGATACAAAGACGTAGTGAACTAACTTGTAGCTAGTTTGAGTCGAAATGAATCATTGGTCCTAAGCCGTCGATTTTTGACTCGGTCATCTACAAGGCGTCAATCAAGAACACTTGTTTTCACCATTGTGTTGTCTATGTGAAAAAAATTGACGTCCCCACTTCCGTCTGAGGGTAAACTTTTCATGTAAATTTAGAGAGAATATTTATACAAAGTTCAGGACAAGTGATGGGACCCGAGAGTAAGTCGTACTACTAACGTAAAGCTACTCGATTCCATACAGGTACCGTTATCGTGCTGTCTCGTAAAGCCTTTGAAGATCGGCTGAATTTATCTACGGCGATTATTTCAGTTCCTTTAGTCGCAGGAGCTTCTCAGCAATGGGATTATTTATTAAGCAGCTGATCCGTAATAAAGTGATAAGTAAATGCTAGCCATGTGAGTTTCTTATTCCGTACACAACGATTATAATAATAATAAAAATAATAAGTTACGTAACGACTGACGAATTGAGGAAACGGTGTAGATAACCACAGGCGGCTAGCTACGTTGAGCCTCGTTTAGATTTTACGCGGAACAACTTAACTGTTACTGCAATGTGGGTCGGTTGATTTATAATGTGATATAATAATAAATAATAATGTACATTGACGTGTCACCGATAGGTGACGCTGATGCGGTGCATAGATCATAGCTGTGAGTGGCAACTTCGTCGCTTTATTCAGGCATTGCTGATGATCGTTCGTTAGATAGAAGTGTTCATTCATTAACAATGAGAACGTGTTATTCCGTTGTACGAAGCGTATCTGCTCGAGGAATCCCGACAACAATTAACCCATACTTCTGGGATGAATGTGTCGCCCCATTTTAGTTAGTTAGTTGATATTTAGACTGAAAAGGAAAAAAGATGATCAATGTGGGGGATCACTCCGTGAAAGATCATCGTAAATGTCGTGTGAACGTTTTGTTGAACAGGAAGAACACACTCCTATTTGAAGCATATTGCTTTATACATTTATGCGTGCCTCAACACAGAACGAAAATAAGCGATAATTTATCGCACAAAACTTGTACTGAAGTTTCGCGGCCCGTCCGACAGATTGGCGTATTAAATAAGGATTTAATATTTGACATCAGTTACCTGCGATCGTAGTAATCATTCGTGGAAACCTATAAATAATCATTCTGATGACCCAACAATATAACAAGTCATATTACGGTTCTCTTATGCAAGCACCTATATTTGACAAGTGCAGGTCGACCTGAATGTAGAAGACTGCGACATTGACGATAGCAATAAGATTGTACACGGAGCCAGCGTACCTTGAACGTGGGCTAGATAGACATCGATTAAGAAACTAGTATAGTTGCAATGTATCTAGATTAGTTTGAAGATTACTTTTGTTACTGTACAGCGTTGTAAGAATACTTCCAGTCTACGTCCAGATACGTCTAGGGAAAGCTGTTAGAACACGTATATATTTGTTTTAACAAGCTTCTTCTTCAAATACCTCGCAGATAATTGTACGATAGAAATTGATCTAACGGTTTAATAACCGGCCTGCCTGATCTAGCATAACAGACCCATTGGGGTGGTCTCTCAAGGATGACGCCATTCCTTTGGATTCCAATCTTATCATTTATAGAAAATGTGGCCCTGACACCCTGGCAAAAAACACCGCAAAACTACGCTATTTTCATCGTGAAATCTAAATGTATTAGCAGCACTGAGCAATATGTATAAATAAACGCGCGAATAGTGAGTGACTCCTCACGTCTTTGGATGGTGATTAAAATTTTAGTTTTTAGCATTTGTCTTAATTTGGCAAAGCTAATTGGTAGAAAAGCTCGGTTATGAAATAGGTCCAGCAATTTCATTCACACGGACAGGTACAAACTCGTTCCCGTACAGAGGAGAGTTTGTCTCCTGAAATGTATGCTTTTTCCAAGCTATGCAATGAAACGGAAATTGCTCGGAAGTCCTCTCCATGTAATTATGAAAAGCCAGGCCTGTCATAAGCAACCCTCCCTCAAAAACTGATAGTTTTTAATAGCTTACGCTTGACTAATGTAAGCAAGGTGGGCTTTGTTTGCTCTAAATACCGTATGGAACGGCCATTAGTTCTTACAGTGGATTAAGACGCTCACAGCATGTCCTTAAAGCTAGCTACCTTAAATCATACAGGATGGGGCCTCAGAGCCGATACCCGAAACCGATAAGAGACAAACGGGAATTTTGACTTTTCGAAAGGTAGACGCACAGAAACATCGACAACATAGCCAAAGAAAGCAAACTTCAACAACGTTTTCCAAATAAATCGCCGATGAATTGACAGAAGCAGCTATTTTTTTTTCAGAAGACCGCGCTTCTAGTCCCATGGCCATCAATAATTGAACCTATGTTGAAAAGGGCTGTTACTTCCCACTTCTTAGCAAATCAATTGGCATCTAACTAAAGACAATGCGGCAAATTGTCGAATGCAGATTCTCGTTTTGATGACCCTGCTTAAATGTTTTTCATTATTATCCAGCTAGTTCCACAAATATGTCACAATTTCATTGTACTAAATAGATATTTACGAAGTGTTTGCCAATTATATATTCAAGGCAATGTTTAATAATATATCATTATAGACGAAAGATGGTTCATTTTTTTTCATTTATTTTACGATTGTCCTCGCCACCGCTGTCACAGGTGGCGAGGGAGCTAGCAAGACGCAGTGCATTTATAATGTAGCATTATCAAATGATGACGCACGTCACATACATTAAAATGTGTTTTTATAAAACCATACGATGATCGAAAGCGGAATTGCTTCAACGAGACATTTCGGAACGTTTGGGCTTTTTTGTGGTTACTGTTATATTTGTCTACTACGTTGCTGTTTACCGTTAAGCCTTCTTTCCGCAAGTAGTCATTGACTGTGCCAGCCGCTAGCGTCTTCTCAGTGTTCCGCTCGTATAACACCAAACTCATACGAGAGGTGGCAGGGTAACAGCGGCTTTCGTATGGCCGATAATTGCAGATTTGTTCAAGGAAAAAGCCCAAGTGAAAAGCAATAGAAAATAGATGATCACGTACACGCATTGTATCTAGGTACGTTACATGTAGAGTCGGAGAAAAGCTGTTCGGCTTTCTCCGTGCGTTCGCTAACGGCTGCAGAACGACAACCGAGCGTAATACCAACTTCAGGGTGACTTATCTGCCACTCGATGGTTCGCGGAAACTTATTTTTATTATCCGCCTAGAACATTGAATTCGATGAACTTTGAAAGGGGCAACGCACAGCGTGAGCTCTTCACGTCGAACGGGCTGGCTACAGATGTAGAGCTTTTGCGGTAAGACACGGTGAGCGTATGTGCATGCTGCGTGACCCACTCAGTCGTGAAGACAGATACTCGAAATCTTTTCTAGCGACCACGTGTAATGATAAACGTACACGCAGCTGCTCGTAAGAAAGCTGGCGCATGCCTAAAAAAATGCAGGGTCGCAGATCAATTATCTCTAGGAGCAATATATGGAACCCATTTAATAGCTTTCTTCAGCGGCAGTTCGTCCTTCTTATAAGAAGCTGCTTGTGATTTGAGACAGCATGCGCGTCATCGATCTATTTAAATCCCTGAAGTCTAGTTCAGGTGTGAAGGAAGATCAGGTGTGAGAAGATTTAGAACATTGCATGCTTTTATTAGGTTTTAGATTTTGTCTATGTATTAAATAGATGGACAAATGACGGCGTAAATCTACTTAGCTTCAAACAACTGATTGTTCTTGACAGCGCGCATTAGTGTAATGAACGGTACATACGTCCGATCCAAATAGGTCGAACTGGGTGCGCAGTCGCTTCAGATACGCCCAGCACTTTTCGTCAAGGGTTTCGAAGTAAGTTGCTTCTCCCGAACATAATTAATTCACATTTAATTAATAAAATATTCAGCTTTACACTCAACTAAGTTGAAGGCTACTCAACAGTTTGACACGTGAAAGCCGCCGACATCAGGATAATATTTTTGGCGAGTTTGTGAGCGCAGCAATTCGAATGGAAGAAGAATAGTGATAATAGTAAAGCTACTATAATTTCTGTCAGCTATCGCGTAAAAAACAGCTTTCTCCGAACCCGTTTGTGAGCGAATGATATCCAACGCCGATCGTGTCGGCGAAAAACTTGAACAAATCGATTCTTTTCGTAGTATATTCTTCAACCGGCGGAATTTCTAAAGGTCTTTGCGGTTACTACGGATAAGAACGTTCAGCGATTTATCCGAGAATTCAGCGAACTAACATTAGCCTATGTTTTGTTACAACATCGCATAAAGTAGACATATATGTCTCATCTCAGATGATCCTTGCCACGGTTTACTATTAAAGGCTTATCAGAAAATATTCTTTGTCACGGATTAACAACTGTAGCAAGCCAAACCGAAATCGCGATTTTTCCGCAGATATCAACAACAAGCAATATGTTAGTAGTTTAGCCCTTGTCCACCTGAAATAATTATTTTTATCTGACGTAAGAGGGTATCAATTGTCTAAGCTTCTGGAGGTCCGAATTCGGGCATTGATCTACAACCTTGTTGATGGTGGAGGGATGACTTTTGGGTTTAATAAAAACAGCGACGCCGATAGTACTAACAACCAACTTACGAGTAACACTGGCAGTCATGTAAACACTTGATTTCTGTGTTTATTTTTACACCGCTTTAAACTTTGCGTAAATGTACGTCAGGCGCCGTCATCGTCGCCATTTTTGCAGATTAATAGTTACGTCGAGCGTATTCGTTTCGCGAGGCGCCTTACGAATAGAGTGGAAAAATGCAAATACATTGTCGGCAACAGGTGCCAATGCAGGCTGGCCTTCAATATCATCGGTGTCGTGGAAGATGTAGTATAAAACTCGGATTTGCCTGCCATAACACGCTGATTATGAATAGATCTAATTATACCTGTAACGGTCCGAGTCGCAATTCGAGCTTAAAGTGTATTCATAACTCTTCTGCTCAATCCTATATTTATTTGAATTTCTATTTAGATTAACGAACGTCCAACAGAAACTGTGAGTGGCCACGATGTTAACTGAAATCGAAGTAAGTTCCTTAATTTTTACATTGTATAATAACCCAGTAAAGTATTAAGGCCATTATTAGGTGTGTACCACAGTGTGATAACGATACTCGAAATGAATCCCAGACGTGTTGAAGTGTCTCGCTAGAGTATTGCATTCCAGAACAATTGCTTTAACGTAACGTTAATAAATCTGTCACCCTTTATTATCTCGATGTGCTTCTGTATTACGTAAGTATTTTTCGCACCGAGTTCGCTAAAAGTCTACCGTGCTGTTCATTCTGTTAGCTACTAATATATGATAAGG